TCCACAATTATAACCTAAACAGTTGCAGTAGTTAATGGCATTGCAATCCAGCTTCTGCGAATATGGATTTTCTGGGTATAAAATTGGAGGCTGCTTACCTGAAGGGCAGCCTCCTGTATGGCTACTTTACTCCTGATCTATGTTATCTTGGATGCTTTTCCAGTTTCTCACAAGCCATGTTCATGCAATATACAAACCGTGCTTTATGCAGATGGGTTGTCTGAGCGCAATCATGTGGGTGTTCCATCCCTGGAGGTTTTCAAGAAGAGACTGGACAGCCATCTGTCTGAAATGGTGTAGGGTTTCCTGCCTGAGCCGAGGGTTGGACTAGATGACCTCCAAGGTCCCATCCAACTCTGTTATCCTGTCATTCCTCCAGAAATGAGAAAGCAAGCCTTACTTCGTTTCTTTCCTGTTTTTATTTTTTTTTTCTCCACTTGACATTCATTTGAAAATGCCACACATGTACACAGACAAACAGGCTTATAAATACCAGTGTGAATAGTAGCAAAAGTGTCCTGCTCTGACACACATACACACCCCCACCTCCCACCCCTGAGCGGTACCAATCGGCCAGCGTCAATGAAGCGGCAGGTGGGTGTCAAATCACTGCAAATGAACATCTGATCCAAAGGGGAACAACACGAATCCTGTTGATTAGGGGTAAGGGAGTTGGAGAGAAGATAAAATAGTTAGAAATCACAAAATATTGGAGGGTGGACAGGTGGACAACCAAATTGTGAGAATTCTGGTGCACAGAAGAAAGGAAAGGGATGAGATTAGGGAGTAAAACACACCGGATCACAAAAACATGGCTTGTAAGAATTCTTATAAGCGAAAACGCACAGGAGCAAAATTGTTTTAGCGTGAGCATCACCCACTCTGCCCATGTTAAATAAAAGAGAAGCAACTAGGGTTGGGGGTGAAGAAAAAGAGGGAAGGGAAATTATATTTCAATGGAACATCATGGCAACCTTAAGATGTGTGGATCTCAACTCCCAGAATTCCCCAGGCAACCATGATGGCTGGGGATTTCTGGGAGTTGAAGTCCACGCATCTTAAAATGGCTAAGGCTGAGAAACATAACCCTTTTCACCCCAAAACACACTGCCTTCAATATCGATCTCCAGTTTTCTTCTGCCCTGCCCAAGATGGTCCACTCAGCTGGCCATCCTCTTCCTCCATGCCTGAAGGAGAGGTGGTGGGTCAAATTAGACCCTAGTAGGGGTAGCATCCTAGGTGTGGGTAAAAAATTCCTGAGCTAAAGAATTATTCTAGGATGCAAGGCATAGAATAGTGTGGAAGAGGTAGCTGGTGAGTGGAGCTATAAAAGTTGGAATCCTAGTTAGATCTCCTGATGTGAAGGTCAACTCAACTTGGGCTTTGGATGAGAAGGCTACTAAAGAACAAATATGGCGAAGGTGTGTCACTGTCTTCTAAAGTGGCCTTTTGACTTTCCAGTCTAACCCATAGCTCTTGGGCTTCTCTGTGGTCTCCCAACCAAGTATCAACTAGGTTATGCAGTGGTCAGTGGGGTCTTCCTATGGTGTAGAACCTGCCTTCCCACCATCCTCAGACCTTTCCTTGCCCGTGAAGATGGCCAACTGGGAAAAACTGGAGGGTCTACAAAATTTGGAGGGTCTCAAAAAAACTGAATTAGGGAGTAGCCCTTAGGATGGCCACCAAGAAGCAGCCCAACCACCATTGAGTCATCTCATGGTGAAGAACTCATGGTAACCCAGACCCCCCCTTTAGATCTGGAGCAAGTCCTAAGACAATACAGTGAACTTCTGAAAGTGAAGAAACAGGAAGGAAGGAAGGAAGGAAGGAAGGAAGGAAGGAAGGAAGGAAGGAAGGAAGGAAGGAAGGAAGACCCCAGGATGGAGGAGGCCAGTTGAGCACTAGTTTCTAGACCAAGGGTCTTCAAACTTGGCAACTTTAAGACTTGTGGACTTCAACTCCCAGAATTCCTCAGCCAGCCAGGTCAACAAATCTTAAAGTTGCCAAATTTGAAGACCCCTGTTCTAGACCTTTGGGCTCCTCCACTGCTACTAGCTTACACCAGGTTGTGAAGAACTCCACACAAGAAGCCAGTGAAGGAAAATCACGAGGTTACGTGTCCCTGAATCTACAGGATTGTTAGCCAAGATCAGAAGACAATCCCAGGACTTGATTACCAAACGGGCTGTTAAGCTGCC